TGAGTAAGTAAAGGTAAAAATACTAAAACGAAATAACAACTCTTGCAAAGTTTTCGAACCATTACAGATCTTTCATTACTTTCTGAAACAATAAATATATCTGATTACAACAAATTATCACAATTACAAGGTCTTCCACTAGACAATACAGGCAAAGGGCAGACAAAAATTTTGATTGGAGCGGACAATATAAATCTAACTGTAGCGAGAAAAGTATATCATGGATTTGAAAATTCCCCGATGGCAACGAAAACCAATTTAGGCTGGATAGTCCACGAAGGAATACAAAAAGGATTAAAAAATTACAATTTTTTTTGTTGTGCGACATGTATGGCTGAATGTACTGAACTCAATAAACTAATAAAAGAAAACTTTTCAGTGAAATCATTTGGTGCTAGTACAAGTCTATTAATATAGAAGAAAAATAGCCATAGAAATACTAAATAAGATTACAAAGAAAATTAAGGGAGAAAATAGTTATAAAACTGGTTTATTATGGAGAAAAGAAAATATTTTACTACCAGAAAGCAAAACAAACGCATTTCATCGTATGTCCTGTGTAGAAAGAGAAATGCTAGAAAGCAAAGAATATGCCTCTGTATTGTAAGGTTTATTTAATTTATTTATTTAAAACACTATTTACAATGTATTCTGTATCTGTAGCGTGTGGAGGGTGAGTTACCTCACGGTACTTAGGCCTCACTAGGCCTATTGTGCACCCTCCTAAGATGATAAGCACCTCCTAGCTCGTGAGACAGCCTACAGATTTAATGTAGTTGACAACTTCGCCAAGAGGTGCTTCTCTTATATCGGCCGTTCTTAGCCGATAATCGCTGAATACAAATCTTCTAATAAATAAGAGCGTCAAGCAATCGTAAAGGATATGCTCGATGGTCTCATCTTCTTTTTCGCACCCTCTGCAGAGTGCGGATTCTGACAGCTCTATGATATGGAGATGCTTCTGTACTTGGCAACGACCAGTCAGAATACCTGTGAATAAGCGCAGATTTTGTCTAGTCATAGTTAAGTATTTGTTTGCTGCAGTGTTGTCAGGATAACTTAAGAGCTCCCTGGCAACTCTGCAGTTTCTTGTTTCATCCCATCTTTCCTTGAATCTAACAAGAGAATGTTCTTTAATTAGGTCTGTCACTACCGATTTTGTCAGGCCAATAGAAGGGCAAGGTTCAAAAAGTATTTGGTTAGCTGCTTTCTTGGCTAGTGAATCAGCAAGACGGTTACCCTTCGATGTGGCGTGACCTTTGATCCATCTTAAGGTGACCACATTGTTGATGGATACTTCGGCCAAAGCTTCGTGACATTCTAGTACTAATCCTGAATAAATTCGTGGTCTTCTCAGAGTAGTAATGCTTGTCTGCTATCTGTATAGATGAGCATGTTCCTTCCAGTGATATTGTTTATGGTTATTTCTTTTGCTGCTATGAGAATCCCCGTTAGTTCTGTTTGAACTACTTTGGCACTATTGCTTAGAGCCGATTTTATGTTTAGGTTTAAGAATCTGGAGTATATTCCAAATCCTGAGCTTTGTTTTGTTTTAGAACCGTCGGTGTAGATATGAATCGTACCTGCCACTTCTATTATAACTTTATATGGCTTATGAAAGATATATCTCGGTGAGATAGAGTCCATGTTCGCTTGAAGTAGTGGGAGCGTATCGAGCGCTTCCTGTCAAAAGTGACGTCTCGCCTCACCAGATCCTACATCACGTTCTATTCCAATGTATTTATAACGTACTAATTAATTTATATAATACTTAGACACTATTATAACTCACAATTCTAATTAATTTATTACAATTTGTCTCTACTGTCCAACACTTCATTTGAATCTGCCCGTCCGTTGACAACTCGCGCTATTTATATAAATCCCGCTCTGTACCAGTAGTTTCTAGACTATCTCGAATTTCCAAGAATTCAATCTCTATAACTCAACGGCCATATACCGTTTTTCTCTGATAGCTTCTCGAAGCATTGCGTTTGTCTCTATATAGCCAGCGGCAAGGAGTAAACAAAGCACAGGGTTGGCTTTGCGCGACAGTATATAAAAATAAAATTGAATACATCAGGAAACTGTCGCCAGAAGAATCCACTAATAAATCAAACAAAACTTGGTACCTGCCTCACTTCTGTGTAATTAATCCAAAACCAAAATTAAGGTTTGAAATTCAACGCAGCAGCCAAGTCAAATGGCGTCTGTCTTAATGATAATGATAAACATATACAATTTCACTTATTTCAGTATTGTGCAGCCTATTTATAATTGCTGATGAATGGGGCACTTTAGATCTACAATAGTGCTTCTTCAGCTTTATCTTCAGCCTATACTAACTAGCTGAATAAAGGTTTACAATTTGACTTTAGTAGTGCTCTTCTAAAATATGGTGCTACAAAGGTTTACAGATAAGTAGCAGAGGCCACTACTGTACACCTATACATTAGCCAAATTGCATAACAAGTCAATGTTACCAGCTTTAAATGTTACTTGGGTTAGTAACCCGTACAAAAAAGTTAATCGCGTGAAATATTCTAGCAAATAGACAAAGAAATATTGAACATCCTGTAAAAAAGATGAGGTGAATCGTAGACACGTATTTCGGACTCTTGGTCTTCATCAGTACAGTGTAGCCAAGGTCAAAGCAAAAATAAAACAATAGAAGAATAATAAGTAGCCATCCTTTATTCAAAAAATGCTTACCTATTATTTTAATATGGTTGCTAGAATATAAGAAGGCACGCCGCTGTTCTAGTATTTATGGAAGTTAATTTGTAGAAGGTTAGAAATCATTTGTATTGTCAGAAAGTTTCGTCTACAATAAATTCAGTGGAAAAGAAGCTTTTGTTCAAGGTCCATCCCTAAGGTAGGCAAGTTCAGTTGTGTTTTCTGTCATGGAAATCTCTATAGGAACTCACACGTGATTAATAGATAAAGAAAAATCCAGTCATTCGTTTATCAGTCGAAAGGTTAAGTTATAAGGAAATTACTATAATAAATCAAAAAATCAAACTGCTGTTAAGTTCTTTTGTCAAATATTTGAACTATCGCTCTTTAGTGTTTTCAAAAAGTATCAACTATTATCTTCATAATTTTTTTTCTTCTTAAATATCTCGTAAATAAATAATTTACGTGAGCAAAAAGGGTCATTAACCAGAAAATACTAATAAAATTCAACAAAACATTGGAGTCAAACATTTTATTTTGCTTTTTGAATAACTGTAAATATTTAACGATTGTTGAATTTAATTAAATATAAATGTCAAATATATGGAAAAGCGAAACCAAAAACATTCAACATAATTAATAAAATCCGTGCTATAAAGTTTCCTTCGGTATAAATATTCGTATATCATTTGGAATTCAAACAAATTGTATTATAACGAGTTTTTGTTTGAACATAATGAAATATTTTATGAAAACAGACGAGTGCTCTTTATGGATTACTAATTATACAATTATACATATTTGTACTTAGTTTGTTTGACCTGCGAATGTTTTTATTACATGAGCACGATTAAAAATAATGACGCATAGGTACCAGTAGATTAAGTATTCCATGTAATTAGACTCAATACTTGTTTGGAATAAATAAAATAGAATTCGACATTTCTTTATTCAATATTTAGAGGAATAAAATCATGACTGATAAAATACTGTAATTTAAACTGATCTTCATTCATTTTTGATTCCATTCTGGAATTTAATTGTCTAAAATTTCTAATTTGTTATTTAATCCGCTATTTTTTCTATTTGTTTGTTTGTCTCTGTAGCCTCGCTAATGACTTATCATATTCGCTGCGGTTGCCCGATCGTAGAATAGGCAATTCAGCACACAGCTGTGTCGTAAAAGGCGAAATAAGTGTCTTTACTATGTTGCTACCTAATATGGATCCAGGTAGTGATTTGTCTTTACTGTAACTTCCTCAAACTCTTTCTTTTCATTATTCCTTTCTAATTTATCCTTCTGTCTTCGACTAGATGACATGTACAAGTCAGTCTAGTTATGTCTCTGGCATAGTATAGATCTAGAGTCATTGCCCTTCATTCTACTCTCCGAATTCCGATGTACAATAGTTTCCTAAAAACAAACATACTTAGGTTTCTTAGGACCTCTGTAAGGTTCATAACCTTAGAAATCTAGTATATCCCTCCTCCTCTTCTTTCATTACTTATATATTTTCTTGATGATAAGTATAGTCTAACCCGGTTTACCACAGAACCACTCTCAAGCGCTCCAATCTACTTGTCCTGTGCAGGCCCGCTTTTATAAACGGGCAGACTGGGCAGATGCCCAGGGGCGCCGGTGATTGGGGGCGCCCGCGCTATGAAAGAGAAAAAAAATAGGTTTTGACCAGCTGGGATTTCAAAGACTAAAATTAAAACGGGTAACATAAACTGGTTGTTAGGTGATTTTCCCTTGTTGAAAATGTAAAAAATACAAGAGAATACGCCTTCAGATTAAAACGTTTGATCTAGTGGAGAAGTGATTGAAGAGAAAGCACTCAGAATCCAGGACAGAAGGCTACAGTAATCAGCTGGTGACGCGCCCCTCCTCCCCTTTTATCATCGCCACACCTACACCGCTACCAGCGCGGCGCCCCCACTCTACTACAGTTGTACAGTCGTCAGTCACAAGTCACAACCTAGTCAATACTCACAGCGCAGTCAGTGGACCAGTAATAGAAGTGTTGTCTTGTAGTGTTTTGTTATGTTGTCTTTTGTAATAAATGGTCGCTGTGCAGTTTTTTATCTTATAAGTGTTATTCACAAATAGTCACAGTCTGAAAAATGGATGAAAAACCTAATGGAGCCGAGCACCGCAAGCGGTTGGCTCAAATAAAACAAACTCAAGAAGCGGTTTTAAAGAAGGTTGGCCCAGTTTAAATTGACGACCTGCAGAGTACTACTACTATTTATGAGATTTGCCATAAACAAACACATCAAATTTCAAAGACAGGAGAAGTTTGTAGTAATGTAGAACATTCACAATGCGTAAAGGTAACAGAATTTAGAAGCTGATTTTTCTAGATCAAATCGGCAATATAAAGATGCAAAGCGATCTCTCAGTGTGAAATTGTTTTCTGGAACTTTAACTAATGGCGAAAATTTCAAACGAGATTGGCCTTATACTCAAGTTCAACCGGGTGTGTATATTGTATCCCGTGTACATTATTTCAGCCTGAAACTAAGTTCACGACTGCGTTTAATGATTGAAAACATGGTAATGATTTAGTGAAATGCCACGAACAGTCTGCTGATCACAGAAAAAATGTTTAGCCTTCTATCTAGAAGGAAAAATTCAGCAGTCGAATATTTAGTACTAACTCAACACGAACAAGAAGTGAAGTATTGACAAGACGTGTTGGCGAGAATAGTTTTGGTAATACGGTTTCTAGGAATCAGAGGGCTTTCTTTTAAAGGAACAGATGAAAAACTAGGCTCAAGATCCAATGGACTTTTTTTGGGAAGCCTTGAACTGATAAGCCAATTTAATCCGTTTCTAGCTCAACACCTTTCAAAATATGGAAACAAAGGCAAGGGAAATGGGTCTTATATATCGCCGGATGTATGCGATGAATTCATCGAATCCATGAGAAAACTTGTGTTCAAACAAATTTTGGATGTAGTGCATGAAGCAAGATACTATTCCATAACTCTGGATTCTACCCCTGACACGTCCCACACGGATTAGTTGGCTTTTGTCTTAAGATATGTTACGCTTACAGAAGCTTACGTTAAAAAGCGCCTAGTTGCACTGTTGCCTACAGTTTCTCATAAATCCGAAAGCTTGGAAAACAAAGTTGTGGATCTTTTGGATGATATAAAACTAAGTATTGAAAACTGTCGAGGACAAAGTTATGAGAATGCCTCAAATATGTCCAGTAATTATACTGGTCTCCAAACCAGAATTAAGGCAAGAAACCATACTGAAGATTTTGTGCCATTTTGTGCCGTACACAGCCCACTTTTTAATTTTAGTTGGTTGCTACGCTGCAGAGAAGTCTTGGTCTGAGATGACAATTTTCTTTTCGTTTGTTCAAGGAATATACACTTTCTTTTCTTCTTCAACTTACAGATGGGGTCTTCTAAAAGAATGTATAAAGAAAAGCAACGATGGAAAACAAAAGTAAGAACCGAAAGGCAACGATGGAAAACAAAAGTAAGAACCGAAAGGCAACGATGGAAAACAAGAGAAAAAACCTAAAATCACCTTGCCAAAATCACTAAGTGAGACAAGATGGTCTGCATGACCTGATGCCAGCAAGAGCTTAGTACAGGGCTACAAAGAAATGAAACAAGCCCTTGAAAGCCTGGCTCAGGACGTTTTTCAAAAACCAGAAACAAGAGTATCCGCAGAGGGATTTAAAAAGAAGATGGGTCAACTAGAAACAAGCATTCTTGCCATAGTTTGGAATGATATATTGAAAAGAGTAGATAAGACTAGCAATAACCTTAAAAAAAAGATTTGGATCGTCTTTCCGTCAATAAAGAATCACAAACCCTACAAACTTTTTTAAAGAGCAAAAGAGACTCTTTTGATGAGTACGAAAAGAAAGCATTGGCTCTTTGTAATATGGAAAGTGTCAATTATCAACGCAACAGAACACGGAAACGATTTCCAGATGAAAATAGGGACTCAGAAGATGAAGCAATGACAAATTCAAGAAATACATTTAGAACTAGTGTTTACATCAAAATCATCGACAACATAACTGGTCAACTTAGACATCGCATGGAAAGCTACTCTTCTCTCGATACTAGATTTGAAATTTTCAAAGTCCTTCACGACAAAGATCCACATAAGATCAACGTAGAAGTAAAGAGGCTAGCTGAATCGTACCCAAATGATCTTGACATTGATTATCTTATCAATAAGTGCCTGCCCTTCCAAGGGTACAAAAAAACTCGAAAACATTAAATATTTAAAAGAATGTTTTGTTTACATCAGTAATAATGATTTAAAAAGTACTTTCCCGAACCTGGAAATTACCATGAGAATATTCTTAACTATTTATGTGACAAGCTGTTCTACGGAAAGAGGATTTTCCGCTCTTAACAGAATAAAAAGTGAAATGAGATCTACTATAGAAGAGGGTAAACTGGACAGCCTAATGATTTTATATACGGCAAGTGACGTGACCTTCTAAGTGAACTTTAACAGTGTCATTGACGAATTTGCTCGAATAAAATACAGGAAAAAAGCAATGTTTTAATAAAATTTACAAAGAACAGACGCATCGTGATCGATGGTCAAGATAATGTACCAAATAAAAAAAGGAGAACATTGTAATTAGTTGGTCAATGGTCATTTTTGTATTTGTTGTTTTAATCCACAACTTAATGTATCTTTTGATTAATCCCTGTAAAGGGTATTTTAAAAGTAAGTTTAGCATCAGTTAATATTTAAATTGTTAATTTGTAATGACTTTTAGGACAGCTTTGATGATGGTTTTGTAAGCCTAATTTTTAATTAAAAAAAAATTTACACACTGATGTATTCATTCCACTTGCATCTCGAAACACTAAATATTGACTTTGTAACTTAACTATACTGAAGCGATGACGGTGTACCATAAAATGAAGCTGCCTACATAATTATCAAGGGTAGATTTAATTAATGTTTGATTGATACTTTTTAAAAAAGTTAAGCATTAGAGATATAGACCCTACATAACAGATACCGGTAAAAATATTTGTTAGAAATTCCATACTCAGTATTTCCATGCTTTCATTCTCATGTCCGCTTTTTTTGCAACTCCATTTATATACGTTTTCATTTTCAGCACTTCCAAATTAAATTCAGATGATTCAATAATAACTGGTTAGCGATAAAATAACATTACTTCCGTTCTTCAAAAACATCTCGTTTATATTTTTGTTTCATTAATAACTTTGTGATTGCGTCAACGACTTCAGATATTTAGCAGAGAAAACTCTGTGTGTATATCGTTATGAAATTTGATATGGGGTAGTTTTGTTACATTAGATTGTGTCAATAATTAAATAGTAATAAAAATGATTTTTTTAATTAAACGTAATTCTATTATACTTCAGTCTTTGTCTATAAAAATTTTAATTATTTGCATGAGACTCTTGAATTAAAAAAATATATATTGTAATGCGAGTCATTTCATTATTCAGTCATGCTCTAATCCTCCAAGTCCCTCTGTGTTATTTGGCCTTTGAGGTTCAACTTGTCCGATTATCGTACATAATTAAACCCCTTAAGATCAAACATATGTGACGACTATGGCGAAGGCGCTTTCGAGTATATTCCAGATATAACGAGATGTTTCTAATTTTGGCGGGGAGCATTCTGGAATCCACCAGAATTTTAAATGTGTACATAAATATTGGTGGAGGAACAACGGAGCAGTCAGTTGTATATAGACAGTTGAGAATAAAGTATTGGACTATGAAGATAAATAGTGAACAATTCAAAGACATTCGAAATATAAATAAATTAGAATTGTAAGTTAGTGCCTACGTATTATATAAATTAATTAGTACGTCATAAATAAATTGTAAATAGTGTGTTTTAAATAAATAAACTATAAATAAATTAAACTATCTTTACATTGGTGTCAGAAGTGGGATTGTAAATAAATAGTGGACAAAAATGGCTAAAAAACTGTGTGATTTAGAAGTGGCTGAATTGCGTCGAGAATTATAAGATCGTGATCTCGAGATGACAGGAAAGAAAGCAGAGCTGGCAGAGCGGCTCAAAGAAGCAGTAAAAAGTGAAGGTTTGGATCCGGAAACGTATTTATTTCCTGATGATGCGTCGTCTATAATTTCTTCTTTGAAAAGTAAAATGTCTTCCATGGAAACCAAAGTTTCATCTGATATGTCCTATATGAAAACCTCATTAGAAACTAAAGTTTCTTCAGACATTTCCTCCTTAGGAAGTAAAGTTTCTTCAGACACTTCTTCCTTAGACAGTGACGTCTTCTGACATATCTTCTTTAAAATATGAAATTTCTTCAGACTTGGAAAACAAAATGTCTTCTGTGGAAAATAAATTTTCGTCTATTTCTTTCCGAAATGTCTTCTTTAAAAAACGAAATTTCTTTGATGTGGAAAACAAGATGTCTTGTGTAGAGGAGAAAATAAAACAGATGAAAAAGAAAATAAGTGAACCGGCCAAGGACGATGTTAAAGCCCCAACTTTCGACGAGAAGATGTCATGGACCAACTGCCTTAAACAGTTCGAAACAGCTGCCAGAGCAAACAAATGGTCTGAACGAGAGAAGGCAGTAAATTTGACCATCGCCCTTCGAGGAGACGCTTTAGATGTTCTTTAGACTATACCTGTGGAAGAGACCGATGACTTTACACAACTGAAAAAGAGATTCAACATGCGATATGGCCATGAACATTTGGAGCATCTATACCAATCACAATTAAAGAATCGCAAACAGAAACGAGATGAGACCCTTCAAGAATATGAAGTAGATATTGCCAGGTTGGTGCGATTTGCCTACCCATCAGCTCCGGAAAACATGAACATATGTTGATGGACTTCGTGACCACGAGATGCAGAAAACACTTCGTTTAACTCGTCACAAAACATTGATCGATGTCTTGTCCGCTGTCCTTGAATATGAGGCAGCTACACAGGCTTCTGGTGGACACTGTAGCATCTAGGACCATTATACGACCAACGACCATAAATAACCGTAAGAGACTTCTACCAACAAGATTGCGACTGCGGACTGTCATAGGTGAAAGTGCTAACATCCATGGGGAAATACAGGTTCATTTGTGAATTGGTACAGAAAAGTTCACTCATACTGTTATTGTCGCTGATATCGAAGAAGATGTTGTACTTGGAATGGATGTAATGAACTTACATGGTTTCCAGTTAGACTTTAAAAACAGAATGATCAAAGTTGGTGCCGAAGAGGTATTCCTACATCCATATGGGGACAGTACCGTGCCAGTTGCTGTACAGGAGGATATGGTAGTACCTGGAAGAAGTGAAACCGTTATAGTAGCACGGTTTCAAGAGACCATGTAAGTAAGAAGGGACACCTGTCATGATGGAACCTTGGAACCACGATGAAGAGGTTGGACGAGGAATTCTGATCGGAAAGGGGTTGGTCACGACTGCTAAAGAGATTCCATTTTGTCTTATAAACGTTAATGATCACCCAATTACCATCAAGGAAAAGACCAAAATCGGAACTTGTGTACCAGACAACAACTTCTGATAATTCCAACGACAAATTCGAGCAAATGATTGCAGTTGCGGGTCAATCTCTGAATCAATTAGAGAAACAGAAAATACAGGAATTTCTTCGACGATATCGTTACAATATATAATTTAGTCTAATTTCATTAATTATTTCAGGAATATATTTTATTAGTTGTTATGGATGATTCTTAAAGAAAGTAGGTCAGGTCAGCAGGGTTACCCAATCAACATATACACGTTATCAAACAGTATACATGTATTATGGAAAATTTTAAACTATTATATAAATTCATATATTATATTTCGTCTATTCGTCCAAATAAATATTACACATGTAGTACCCTTATAACACTTCATTGAGCTCAATTTTAAAGAGGGATCACCAAAAAATTTGACAAAAAAGCCGATACGTTACTTATACTAACTGTTTGTGACCTAGAAGGTAGGATTTCATCCACCTCAAGTCCACATCTCTTATACCATAAATTTCAAGC